TGGTGAACCTCTCGAAGTAGCAGCTTGAAGCCGTCCAAAGGGAGTAAAGGCCAGCAAACCTGTTCAAAGAGGATAAGAGGAAACAGCTTAGCCAGAGGTGAGAGATTTCCACTAGAAAAAGAGGTGAAGGCCCACAGACCCAACTGAGCCCCAGAGGGAAGGCCAAAGAGACGCCCTGCTAACCGCCCAGAGGGAAGCTCACTCGCTCTATCAACTGGGCCCAAGGGGAAGGAAAGGTTGTAGGACCCCAACTGAACAGACTTAACCCTGGAGAACAAAGAGTAAGCCAAGCTGACTACAGGTGGAAAGCCCTAAAAGAGGCGCCCAGGGCTGGGAAGGAAAAGTTGCTCCCTGCTAACCCCAGGCAAAGACGCCACTCGAGGGTTGCTACACAGGTGCAAGGATGAACGAGCCCCAGTTGCCACCACAGATGGAAGCCCAAAGGCCAAGCAGAGACAGAGAGGAAAGCTGACACCTGCTAGCCACAGTCAAACAGTAGCCAAAGGGAAAACCTGGAGCCCTGAAGACCAACACTGTGTGAAAGCCGCCAGTACCTAGGAGCTCACCCTCTAAGAAGGGGAGATACGCTAGAGAGGAATAGTAGCCCACTGCAGCTATAGCAGACAATAAGGAGAGTTCAGCTGGAGGCTCACCAGCCCTAAAGGAGTGCAGATTAGAAAACCTGGACCTAAGGCAACAGCCGCCAAAGATGGCAGTCAGGGCGGAGGACTCAAAGCAGGCTGCACAGGCAGTCAGAGAGCCAAGAGAACTCAAGGGCACCAGCTAGTTAGAAAACATGGACCTACGAGAACAGCCGCCAAGGCCTCAGGGCTGGAGGGGACAAAGGTAGTCAGAGCAGGCTACGAGGGTTGGAAAACATGGACCTAGAACAGAGCAGGCTACGAGGGTTGGAAAACATGGACCTAGAACAGAGTAGGTAGCAGCCAGCCGGCTTCAGGGCTGGAAAGGGACAAAAGCAGTCAGAGGGCTAAGACCACTCAAGGGCACCAGCCGGTTAGAAAACATGGACCTAAGGTAGCAGCCAGCCAGCTTCAGGGCTGGAAGGGAACAAAAGCAGTCAGAGGGTTAAGACAACTCAAGGGCACCAGCTGGTTAGAAAACATGGACCTAAGGTAGCAGCCAACAGGGCTGGAAGGGGACAAAAGCAGGCTACAAAGGTGGCAGCAGGCTCTAAGAACAAAGGTTAGAAAACCTGGACCTAGAACAGCAGGCTCTAAGAACAAAGGTTAGAAAACATGGACCTAGAATAGCAGGCTACAAAGGCGTCAGCAGGCCCTAAGAGCGCAGGCTAGAAAACATGGACCTAGAATAGCAGGCTGCAAAGGCGGCAGCAAGCTCTAAGAACGAAGGTTAGAAAACATGGACCTGGGTCAAGCGGCCTTGAGCCAAGGAACGACAAGCCCAGCCTGTAGAACCAAGGAACGACAAGCCCAGCCTGTAGAACCAAACGACGACAAGCCCAGCCTGTAGGACCAAGCTACCGTCCCAGCGTGTCGAACCAGACAACGACACACTGGTAATAAAGGGCCGTGGAAAGAGCAATCCACAACGGCCCGGGCGAGGCGCGGTTGGCGCCGATACGAGCGACCCAAGCTTGTCATACCACCGCTTTCTTTCAGAAAGTCCAAGGGCCTGGGAAGAGGAAGCCACAAGGCCCGAAGCCGAGGCGCGGTTGGCGCCGATACCTAAGGAACCAAGCGTGTCGCACCGCCCAGTCCCTTCATAAAGTCCAAGGGCCTGGGACGAGGAAACCACAAGGCCCGAAGCCGAGGCGCGGTTGGCGCCGATACCTAAGGAACCAAGCGTGTCGCACCGCCCAGTCCCTTCATAAAGTCCAAGGGCCTGGGACGAGGAAACCACAAGGCCCGAAGCCGAGGCGCGGTTGGCGCCGATATAGTAGGAACCAAGCTTGTCGCACCGCCGTCTTACTTCAGAAAGTCCAAGGGCCTGGGACGAGGGGACCACAAGGCCCGAAGCCGAGGCGCGGTTGGCGCCGATACATAAGGAACCAAGCTTGTCGTACCGCCCACTCCCCTCCCAAAGTCCAAGGGTCGTGGGACGAGGAACCCACAACGACCCGGAGCGAGGCGCGGTTGGCGCCGATACGGTCGACCCAAGCGTGACGCACCGCCCACTATCCTCAGAAAGTCCAAGGGCCTGGGAAGAGGAGACCACAAGGCCCGGAGCGAGGCGCGGTTGGCGCCGATATAAGCGACCCAAGCGTGACGCACCGCCCACTCCCCTAATAAAGTCCAAGGGTCGTGGGACGAGGAAACCACAACGACCCGACGCGAGGCGCGGTTGGCGCCGATACGGTCGACCCAAGCTTGACGCACCGCCTTCTTTCCTCAGAAAGTCCAAGGGCAGCGGCCGGCGTGTGACACGGCCGGGCCCGACGCGAGGCGCTGATACCAAGAGGCCAGCGCCGATAAGAACCAAGCATCTGCGGCCGGGTTTTTAGGCCGCAGCTAAGGCGGGGCGATCTACCAAAAAACTGCGCTCCTGGCCTTCCCAGTCGCTTGCCCTGCACTGATGGGGCCACTAAGCTCATCAGCTTGGGAAAAAAGGCCTGGCAAAAACCAAGCTGCGAGCCGGCTTACCATTTGTGCCGGCTCTAGTCACTGTTTTTTTTTTTTTTTTTTTTTTTTTTTTTTTTTTTTTACGAAGTGTATGGGGGAATGCATTCAGGCCGATAGTGCAGTAGCATCTTGTGTGGATTTGTGTGCGAGGCCGAGATCCCACTGGCAGGCTGGCTGGGCCGCCTGTCGACCAGCCCGGGATTCGCATGTAGGCCGATAGCATAATAATTATAACGTATACTAGTATAGATGTATAGCAGGGATTCGTATTATGTAAACGACTCAGTGCTGTCTAGGGAGATTTTCTGGAAAGAAACACGAAGTAGGGAGACGAGGAAATGCTATTAGAATGGACTTTAGTTGCCGAAGAAAAGACAGGATGCGTCAGCAAAAACATACTTTGTAAGAGAGATCCCGTCATCTCCAAAATAATCCTGAACGGCCGAGTCAGCGCCGGTCACAGGAAACGTCGGAAGAGAGATCCCGTCGACTCCAGAACGTCCGTGATCGGCAGAGTCAGCGCCGGTCACTAGGGGTGTGCGGATAATGCTCGAAAAGGTGGCAGATTCTGCTCGAAAAGCAGTGAAATTGGCAGAACCATACAAACCTTATGGCGGGCAATTCCTCGAATTCTGCTCCATTTCTTTATCCACATACCAAACATGCATGAAACTTACATGAAAAAGTACCGAATTCTGCCTATTTTTCTGCCGGAATTATCCGCATATGCCTACCGGTCACAGGAAACGTCAGGACAGATAATAACTTCGACTCCAGAACGCTAGCCAGGGCCATCACAGCTTTGACACGTTACATGCATGATAAGCAAGCAAAAAAGCATAGCGTAGGGCCCTGAGCTTCCAAGCTCTCTCGTTTGGTATTTGTTTGTTTGTGTGTTTGTGTCACGCCTGGCGCTATCCGTATCTGACGGCAAAAAAAGCATAGGAGGTTATAATTTTTTCAATTCTCCTTTTTTCAGGCATATCCTGGGATTCGAACCCGCACTATCGCCCTACATGCATTCCCCCATACACTTCGCATTCATACCCATTCTTCCAAGTTGCTTTACGTTATTATCTTGCGTTTGAAAGCCCTATTTGAATATTGCGGGCAGCTGTACATGTATGTGGCCAGCTGTGTTTGATGGTACGGTACGGGAGACGGTGTCGTATTACCCTCGATCGTACCTGTCCCGAAGTCTAAGCCCAAAAAGCCAATGTCAATGCAGTTGATGGCCAGGAACACCTTGTGGTTTTTATCCTTCGTCTGGCTTGCCCAACAAAATGCACTGACTACAGCATCATCATCCGCTTCAGACAATGATATTGTCACAGCATGAACAAAACCCTCCTTTGCAAACTTCTGCCCTCTCTTGAACGTTCCACCACTACCAAAAATTATCTTTATAGTTCCAATCGTCAAACTTTTGAAAGGTTTCAGAGAGTCAAACGGCAGATCCATGCGACTACCCACACTATCGTTGCTACTACTACGAGTCCTACTCTATTCCTACACTACTAGTAGAAGTCGGCAGCAACAAACAACTACCAATACACTAAAAGGAAGGAAACACAAGTCATGTCACAAGCAAAACAAACCACACAAAACACATCAATTCATGTGTCTCTTTGCCCCGAAAAATCGATTCCGAGCTCCGCGGTCTCCAGGGCCATCTCGGGTACGGATCCCCGGAGGCGACTTTGGCAACCTGTCTCATCCCAAACCGCGGGAATCTCCAAGTTTCAACCACCTCTGAAGCTTGGAGAGCTTTGGAGAGCCTCCTAAAATTCGGAGAGGATATAAGAGCAGCTCTCGAACCTTTCGGAGAGTCTCCAACTTTTCCCAGAGGATTTAGGAACGCACTCCAAGACTCCCTATTGTATTTTCAAAGGAAAAGCAAAGGCCTTTTCAGATTAAAAACATGTATGCATGCATGGTTTTCGCATATGCGTGGCTTCCGAGGTGACGACATCAGAAGTTCAGGACGCGACCACTGTGCACTTTTGCACTTTTCTCCCATATTGCACTTTTGCAGCACACGTGCGCGCGGTACGACATGCATACTTTGAAAGACTTGGACATGAAACTATTTACTATGGTAAAAAAAACATCTGCAGTCTTTCTGACAAAGCTGTATTATGCGCCATGTGTTTAGCCATGTGCTTACTTCGAAAAAGAGGTTTTGCCACATGCGTAAGTGCAAGTGCCTGGTTGAAGACAGGCTACCGGTTCGCGGTTCCAGACTAGGGAGTAGTACAATACCGTACCGTAGGTATTGTACTACTCCCTGTTCCAGACAGCTACATGACATTGTACAGCTACAGGCAAGAGTGCACGCACTCTTGCTACATGTAACATCAGGGTCAGGCAGGAATTGAAGTACTTTCCAGCTGTCAGAATTATTAGAAATTAGAAATAAGGATCGAGTCAGATCTGAAGGAGCTTTTCGTAAGAGATTTTTGCGTCAGGTGTCCGTGCAGTTCCAGTAAATATCTATTGGATCGCGTGATAGTGTTGTTGCCTCATATCTGGTCCGGAACTGAACCAAATTCTTACTGAACTGGAGTTGTCGCTGAACCAAACGATGTGAGTGATTACAAATTCATAATACTAACAAGTAATGATGGGGGTTGTGTTGTGTTCATTTGAATTCGCAAACCGAACGGACTGAACATGTCCATTGTCAGGGAAGCGAATGGGGTCCAACTAACCCAGGCATGGGAAACTATGAAAGCAGACACAGCTGAAAAGAAAATATCAAAAAAGAAAGATCTTGCAATAGGTAAAAAAAGAGAAAAGAAATGAACGAGAAGAAGGACAAAGAGATTGTAAATCGTGGTGAATTCGAGAAGAAATGAGAAGAAATGAAAACAGAAAGGAGAAAAGGAAGTGATAATAATCGTGGTCACGGCCAATGTCCGGAGCAGCGGCAGGACACTGTAGACGCGTGCATGTACTAACATAAAAACAACAACAACAGGAACAAAACCAGGAACAAACAACAGAAACAAGTATGGGTCATGCCGGCCCAGGAGCGGGAGACAACCACAGGAATAGAGAAGAGAATAGAGAGAAATCGAAGCCACACACGCACACGTACACCTTGAACCTTGAAACTGCCACCTAAAGGTGATGCAGTGCCTCAAAGAGGCAAGGAGGGCAGAGTTACTTCTTGCATTTGTGTTGAGCCAGGTACTGGAGACGTGTGAACTTCCGAGAGCAGGTCGGGCATGGGATGGTGCGGCGCTCAGAGCCAGAGCTGCATGTTCTGCGGTTGGAGTTGCAGTTGTGCCGGCGGTGCCCAGCTTTGCTCCGGAAACAGCGGTCACAGGTGTGGCAGTGGTAATGACATTGGGTGCAATCAGGTGGGCGAGGTGCAACAATCTCTGGAACTGGAGCGTCACCAAGACTGGGAGAGCAGCTGTGCACAGCAAATCCACCTCGGCTAGCAAACCAACGATGGCACGTTTCGCACAACATAGCACCGGCCTGTTCATGGATCGGCTTCAGTCGCTCTTCCCTGCATTTGTGCCGCCGAAGTCCGCTTTCACTGGCGAAGAGTCGCTCACAGATCGCACAACACACTGACTTGGCTGTCGTTTCAAGGCGTAAGCGCCGTGCAACAATAGCATCCGAGATGGACTGGATCCACTCGCCACGTTCAGCTGCGAGGTCGTACCAACCGGTGTATAGACCGAACGCCTTGAGGTCATCGCGTACCACATCACGCCATCGACGCCTGGGGCCATGAGCAGGGCGTGGAGTATGGAGCCACGAGAACAACACTGTCTTTGGAAGCCGGTGGTCGTCCATCCTGGCAATGTGGCCAAGCCACTGCAGCCGTCGACGGGCAACCATGTCAGCAACTGGCTCTGTAGCGCACATTCTATGCAGCGAGGCAGATGACAGGTGGTCCTCCCACTGTTTGGAACGCGAGATGCCGAGAATGACACGAACGCAGCGGTTGTGGAATTGTTCAAGGTGACGTATGTCGGCACGCAACAGTGTCCAGTTCTCAGCCCCGTACAACAGCACCGACAACACACAGCATGTGTACGTGTGTTGTTTCGTCTTGGATGTTAGTGAAGTGTTCCGAAAAACTGACGAGTAGAGGCTGCCGAAGGCCTTAGATGCAGCAGCTATGCGGTTGGACACATCGGTGTGGCATCGTCCGTCTGGTGTTACCACTGAGCCGAGATATGTGAACTGGCTGACATGCTGGATGGCGTTGCCTTGTACGCTTAGCGGGGTACGGTCACTGTCGTTGATCTGATGCCCAACAGCCATGAACACTGTCTTTGCCATGTTGAGAGACAGCCCGAATGCTCCACTGACCTCCGCAAATATCTCAAGCATACGCTGAGCATCCGAGTGGCTGGGTGCAAACAAGGCTGCATCATCAGCAAACTCACCATCTGTGATGACCATATCATTACCACGCTTAGATCTCTTGAAAAGCTGACCATCGGCACAGGTACGGAGTGGAAAACCAGACACTCCACGCTCTTGGACGCGTGCGCACCAACGTTCCATCACTGCACCAGCAAACAAGTTGAAAAGGACTGGTGCCATTGTACACCCTTGGCGCAATCCGTTGCACACTGGGAAGCCTTCAGTGGGGGAACCATTAACGATGATCGTGGCTGTCATGTTGTCGTGAAAAGACTTCAGAAGGCTGACCAGTTGCTCCGGGACTCCCAGCTTCAGCAGGACAATCCACAGTGCAGCACGCGGAACAGAATCGTATGCCTTCCTCAAATCGACAAACACCAGGAATCCCTTGGATTGGTGCTCGTGACACTTCTCCACAACCTGGCGAACAACAAACGTCATGTCCGTGCAGGAGCGACCTTTCCGGAAACCACACTGTGATTCAGGCAGCACACTTTCGGCGACTTTCTGCAATCGGTTTTGCAGCAGGCGTCCGAACAGCTTGCCAATGACGTCGAGGAGTGCGATGCCACGCCAGTTGTCGCAGCTAGTGAGGTCACCCTTCTTGGGTATCGGTATTATCTCAGCATTCACCCAATCTTGCGGTACTACGCCCTCCTCCCAAACCGCGGTAATGAGCTTAAACAGATTGGCATAGAATAGGTCGCAGTTGTATTTGACCATTTCCGGTAGAATGCCGGAGCTTCCAGCAGCTTTCCCGTTCGTAAGATAGCGAAGGCAGCGCTGGGCCTCTTCAGCAGTGGGTGGGGTGGCCAGGTGTTCCATGATGTTGCGCTGCTGGACCAAGTCAATTTCAGATCGGACAAAGCCGCTTGGAAGGTTCAGCAGCTTTTCGAAATGTTCAGACCAGCGGTTCTGCTGTGCCTCAACGGACGAGCATGGTGAGCCATCAGTCTGTTTGATCAGGCACGACTTAGTGGGAATCAATCCGCGCCGGGCAGTCTGTAGATCCCGGATGCTGTTCCACACAGCCTTACACCCAAACTTCCTAGATTCGGCATCAGACGCAGTCTTACGGAACCAGTCCTCCTTAGCACTGCGTACAGCATCCCTTGCAGCTGAGCGCGCGCGGACAAACTCTCGCCGGACCAGAGGTGATGGATCTGCTAAAGATTTCTGGAATAGAGTGTTACGATGTGCAAGGAGAGGCTCGAGAGTGGCGGAACTGGCTGAGAACCAATCTGGCTGACGACGGCGACTCTTGCCTAGGACAGATGTAGCTGCTTTAACTGTGGCGTCCCGTAGTGAACTCCATTGATCCTGAACTGAGGTCCCTGGTGCAGCGTCTTGCAAACAGTCGGATGAGGTATGGTACCACTCCGCCACAGTTGCTTGCCTTACTAAATCATCATCCTCTGATGCAGTTGGGTCAGCAGGTCCGAGCTGGGATACATCAAAGCGACGGCGATCAGGGGCCTTGCTCTTTGGCGGGTAGAAACGCCGGCGGCAACCAAGTGACAACGTTAGCCCGACAAGTTTGTGATCGGTCCCACACTCAGCAGACCGGTACACACGGCAATCTGTACAGCGCTGAAAATCCCGCTGCCGGGTGATCACATAATCAATACAGTGCCAGTGCTGTGAACGTGGGTGCTGCCACGTAACTTTATGAATGTCCTTTTTCTTGAAGTACGTATTACAGAGTCGAGAGTTGAACATGGATAGAAAGCTCAACAGTTCCTCACCAGCTTCATTCATGGTACCAACGCCATAAGGACCACGCACTTGCCTCCATGCGTCCTCTTCATGACCTGGGCTGCTGCCAACACGGGCGTTGAAGTCACCAAGTACGACGTACAAATCGCGCTCCGGGATGGATAACAGACAATCACGAAGTTCGCCATAAAATTTCTCCTTTTCATGGCGAGGCCTCGCGAACGTTGGAGCGTAGCAGGAAATGACATGCAGCCACTGATCGCCAAACAACAGTTTCGCCACAACAACTCGCGAGCTGACAGCTCGCCACTGACACCCGCCGTTTTTCCACGCTCGTTGGGCCAAACCTAAAAGAACGATTGCAACTCCCTCGCCGCGATATGCGGGCATTCCTCGCTCTGTTGGGACGGGGCGTCCTGCATTTAGAACAGACGCTCCACTGATCAAATACTCGTGATCGCCGAACCATTTCGTCTCCTGAAGACCTGCGACTGAGAAATTCAAATTTTGAATTTGGTGAAGAACAATTTGAATTTTTTTGTCTTCCGCGACGGGCAAGCTTCTTTCGTGACGAGCTGTCTCGATGCTTCCATCATTCTCCACTAAGCTGTTGACGTTCCAGGTACAAAACTTCAACACAAACGCTTCGTTTCTCCGTCTCCTACTTCGTGCAAGGGGGTCTACCTGGAGGTTTGCAAAACCGTCGCAGGTGCGTACACACACACACACACATAAACACACACGCACACACACACGAATGGCGGTTTTGGTTATCCGGCACCTTATGGCGCTGCATCTGCCGCTAGGGTTTCTCGGGTGTTAGCGGCCGTCGTGAGTTCCCTTCGGGAACGGATACGATAATTTACTTTTTTATTTTTATTTTTATGACACAGTACGAATTGCTTCTAAGAATGCAGCCAGGTTGCTCAACAAAATAAGAACACCCCAGTCTAACCCCTACATACACCTCAGACCTCAGACCTCAGACGTGCCCATCGCGGAAGCGATGATAGCAAACAGCTATGTTAGACATAGCAACTTGTGCTGGGATTACACCATTCAACAGCTTGCAAGGCTGATGAATTGACCGCCACTATTTTTAGCCTGGTATCCACCACACAGCTGTTTGAAGTGACTTTTTCTGGCCAGTGAATCCCTATTACATACACACATACCCACACACACACACAATGGCGCACGCATGTGCACACACGCACGCACGCACGCACGCACGCACGCACGCACACACACACACACACATACACACACACAGCTATGTTAGACATAGCAACTTATGCTGGGATTACACCATTCAACAGCTTGCAAGGCTGATGAATTGACCGCCACTAATTTTAGCCTGGTATCCACCACACAGCTGATTGAAGCGGCTTTTTTTTTCTGGCCAGTGAATCTCAATATTTCCTTTTTTCCTTTTTTCCTTTTTATTCATTTTTTATTCATTTTTGTTACACACACACGCCGTACGCCACACGACATACTCTGGCCAAATATGGCATAGTCTGTACCAGTATTGCAACGAATAGCAAAATCACGAACGAATATTCTAACGGATATGCACATTACGAACGAATAAATATTCTACTATTCTACCCATAAAGACGAGCCCATTTCAGCAAACTAGGTATGCTTCCTTCTTATTAGAACCAGAGCGCACTGAAACATGACCTCATCTTTTGTGGAAAAAGTCGATAAAATCGCGATTTGAATTCCGCGGGAAAAAATACGAGTGGCGAGTTGCTGTTCTTGTTCTCCTCGCGCTCAGTGGACTGGATCTGTTCTGGGTTCAAATCTTTCTTGCAAGTAAGTTTATTTGTTTGAGTTTGTATTCCATTTTGCGCTGAGTCGCCTAAAACGGGTCGAGCCTAATGACTACTCGTATGTACTGCGGAGCAGAAGAAGACGACATCCTCGCGCTCCGTTCGCAGGATGAAATATTTTGTTGATTTGCTTCGGAAACAGAAGTCTCAAGTCTCTCAAAAGTCACTTCCGCAAGGAGCTAGATTTACGATCCAACATCACGAATTTCTACTGACTCGAAACTCAGCAAAGGACTGATTCGATTCGAAACTATTCAGGGACTGCTGCAAACTACAAAGAAGAAAGTAAGCATTTCTTGTGCAGCTGCAAGCTAGAAACGGCGAGTAAGTGGAACTGGTCAGAATCAGCTTCAAATGACATTACGTTGACGATGTCGTTTGTTGCCCAGTTGCAGTGACTGTTGCACATTCTATGATGCAAGGACACAGCGAGCGCGCTGCGATGAGCAGCACGAGCCTTTGTACTGAAAGTTGTACATGAAGTTCAGCATTTCGAATATTCGAATTCTGACTCTCATCTTCGAGTATTCAGTGCAGCGCGAAAAATCGAAGATATTCGATTATTCGAGTATTTGTTGCAACACTGGTCTGTACCCATTTCACCTTGTATGGCGTATATGGTGGCATAAATGGTTGTACCTCGCGAAATACAAGCTATTCTCCTGGCAGCAGCATACTAAAAATAGCGTGCATCTGGCTAAAGGTCGAACCCAAATCACGGTATTTTCCCCCTTTTGATATTACCAAGAGTCAATAACCCCCAGAGTGTGCAACGCGCGATATGGTCTTGTCACGCCTCATTTTCAACATTACGTCATTTTCATGTCCATTTTCATGTAGCGAATGTCGCGGCCTGCACGCACAGCTACATGAAGATGACGTAATGTGGAAAACGAGTCGTGACAGACATTTATGTGGCGTTGCACACTCTGGGGGTTATGGACTGTTGGCAATACCGTTACAACATTACGTTTTTTTGTCAAGTGTGTCTAGTACCACCTTGTAGCACTTCGAAGCACATCGCTGATCTATTCTAGATACTTTGCAATGCATGGTTCAATGCCAGACTTCTTCATCTCAAATCTAGTCATGTTAGTAATTTTACAAGTTTTGTGGTATTCACAGTTTGTTTTCGTTATGTACTGTAATTTCAGAAATTTTCGGTGCTAAATATTTTCGGTATGAGGGCAACAGGCTAGGTTAGGTGAACAGAAATTTTCGGTAAAGAGAAGCAGTTCACTATTGGTTTATGTGTGTTAGTGTTTGTTCGGTGTAATGAAATTTTAGGTATGAAACAGACGCACCGAAAGTACCGAAAATAAAAGTATAACGAAAATTTCTGAAATTACAGTATTGCAAAACCAAACGGTCAAGCTTCCACCAAAAATACATACTGGTAAATCAGGCGTGTAGCTCAGGAAGAATCATCCAACAGGCAAGTTTTTGTTTTCTTCATGCCACAGTGAAGCCTAGTTCACATTCGACTTAGCGCTGATGGTACGGGACGTAACGACCTGTCGAGACGGCTGGTGTGAGCTGAAAACTCCAATTTGGTTCGTCCGGCACAACGTGCTCCAGTAGTTGCGATATTCAACAGCCAATGGTGCAAGTCATAAGGCACGGTCTGTGAGGGAGTGATTTTCGGACGATTTGTTTTGGTTTTTCGGAAGTTCTTTTCGAAAATAGTTTTCCTTGGATGAAGCGGAATCAATTTACCACTACGGTCAGACTTCACTTAACCGCACACATCCGTTTCCATAAAAATATCCAGGTAGGCGAGGGAACCGGATACTCAAACACACATAATCACAGGTATGCATGACATATGCTGTAAATTGGTAACCAACGATTTTCTTCTGGATGGCGAGAGATTCGGGTTAAAGAGGACCGGATAAGCGAGGTCTGACTGTACCAGTTTTTCCTGAAGACCAAAACGTAGCCTTGAAAGTTGTGCCATTCAAATAGTCCCTGGAAATTGTACAATAGTCCGTCTGTCACATTTCTGAACTATCCCTAAGATATCATAAGTGAGTATACGATACGATTTTTGTTTAAAAGTGACATCACAATTTATCTTGCTAAAATTAAACCCATGTTGTGCTATAATGGGAAGCGCAGCCCGGCTAGCTCAGTCGGTAGAGCATGAGACTCTTAACCCTTTGCGTGCTGAGTACGAGTTAACTCGCACTTTATGCATGCCCCGATCCACTACGTACGAGTTAACTCGCAAAAAATCGCACGATATATTGCAGTGCATAGACCAGTGTACAAACTTTTGTAACTTCGTCTAACATAAACGCATCGCGACAATCAATACACCGTTGGAAAGGTCTTGACCTCATCTTTTCAGGGATATAAAGTACTTTGCGATAGGATAAGAATTCATTGAGCGGCGACAAGATGAACACGGAAATCACGGCACAGAGTGAACGCGAATTTTTGTTCATGACTTCTTTTTGTTGAGGAGCGTGTCAGGGGATTTCCCTTTCGCACGGCGCATTCGTGATGGACATCAAATGAAGCGCTTGGATCTGAGCTTTGCAGCGCAGTTTGAATTGTGAAAATCTGTTGAATTTGGGCAAGAAGCCGAACAAGAATGTGAAATTGAGTTGTTGTGCCGTTTCGAGGCACGGTGCAGTAGTTTGGAGAGAACGTGGAAGTGGCCCTGATGTGTTTATGGAGCTGAGAGCTGCCATGATGGATCCGCTTGGTCCTGATCTTTCCAACGAACCGAGGACGATGAAAATCCATCAAGGTGGAGTGAAATGAGAATAAATTTCGTTCGGAGCTGGGAGTGCATACTCCACCAAGAGAATCAGTGCGCTGGAAAGCCAGTGGATTGGAGAAAAGAGGCTCAGCATGCAAAGGGTTAATCTCAGGGTCGTGGGTTCGAGCCCCACATTGGGCGCCAATGTTGAGTACGAAAAGGACGACGACATATTCTTCATACATTACAACGGACAACGGGAAACAGGTTAGGTCGAATAACATTTATTGGGGAGACGAAGAGACCGAGACAAAGACGAACGAAACGACGACA